GCGCATTGTGATGCGATGGACCACCTCACGGGAGAGAGCGTGAGAGGCATCAAGTGCATGAGCACAAAAATTGTCAACTGGCGTGGGAGTGAGCCAGTCTGACGAGGAAAACAGGCGGATTGGCCCGTGAGACAAGGATTGAGCGTCATCTTGCTGAGCAAGGCTTGATAGTGTCTGTAGACTGAGCTCACTTGATGGAACAAGCAGCCTGCATGCCTTCTCCCTCCAATACGCGTCAGAAACAGAGCGAGAGTTAGGGTGAGGGGTCGTCAGCTTTGGGATGGAGGCATCACAAGCTCGTTGAGGGGGATCTGGTAATCCTGTAAGCGGAGAGCTTGCGTGTGATGAACCAGCATGGCGCCGAAAACTGAAAGCCAACGAATAGGAACGGAGTTGTTTGCCACGTTTCCAGCCACCCTGCACGACATGAGACATAAGGAACTCACCAGCTGGACTTGGTTGTTGAAGGTATGATTGACCGAAGAGGGATCTGTTTCCAGAGCAGCAACAATCGTTGAAGAACCCAAAAGCTCGTTGTGCGTGCTTCCACCTGGCAAACCTGCATGACAAACTCGTTAGAGGAACAGCATGACGGTGGAGGGTACCTACCAACAGCCAGCCTAGAATAAGAAGCAGAAACCCATGGTTCCTGGAGGTTCGGCGTGACACGTGTGTGCGTAGGCGTCGTACTGGACCAGGTGAGTTGCCCGAGGGAGGCGGAGAGCAACGGAAGTTCATTTAGGAAAATTCGCACGATTTTGTTTGGAATGGGTGGGCGAGCTCTCCCTGCCTTGCCAAGTTGCCTCCCGTACGGCGAGTAAACCCAAGATTGGCTTTCCCCACAGAAACGCGTCCAGCGGAAACTGGTAAATGGGGTTACGCCACGAAGCCGAAGTTGGTATGGTTAGGTTGAGACACGTCAGGGAAGTATGCGATTGGTGAGAGATATGTAAGATGTAGTGCTGTTTATATATAAGCTGTTTCGCTCTGTGCTTGGAGCACATAAGAAATATCGCACCTGTCTGTAGCGAGCACTCTCTGCTGGTTGCATTTCCGTGAAATCTTGTTCTCTAAGAATTATCCTAGCCGTTGCTTCTAACATTCAATATTCATCTGCACGTTTTACCGGCACTTTCGCCATGCGCCATGCGACCTTGCGCGTCATTTCCGCGTCGGCGTCTAAACTATCGCGTCGCAAGTCCGATCTGACGCGCAAGTCGCGGAATGCCCTATCCTCAGGAGTAGTTCCCCTGCTAATCCCGCAAATCCTCTCGAGTCGCGCGATTGGAGACGCGCGTCCTGACTCGTTCCAGGAGGCCGCACCTTTCGCGCCGATCGCGCCGCGTTTCGCGGCGGCTGATGCGGTCGTTCCTCTCGCAACGAGTGAAAGGAGGAGGGTAATCCCAGCTGTTCCTTTCGCAGCCCGGAGCTACGTGTCAGGCACGAGCCGAACCGCAGGTCCGGCAGCGCAGCCAGGCTCGGCAGCGAGCGTACCCGCAGGCTCGCCACTAGCCTCGGCAGCGAGCGCCGACCGAGCCTCAGGTCCAGACTCGGATCAGGCTGGGAGCGAGCGCAGGGGCTGGAATCTGCTGTTCGGCGGGGGAGGGGAAGAGAGAGGGGGGCAGGGCGCGGGGGAAAGGGGAGGGGAAGCGGCGGCGGAGGCGGAGGGCAAGGGGGAGGGCGGCGGCGGGTGGCTATCGCGGCTTCAGACCTTTCTGCGGTTGAAGAAAGGAGGCGATGGAAAGGCGGGGGAACCGAAGCGCTTGACACACGCGGAGAATCTTACAGGTGTGCGGGAGGAGAGTTGGAGGGGGGTGGGGGGGGGGTGGGGAGAGTGGGAGGGGGAAGGCGGAATGGGGGAATGAGAGATTGGGGGGGGGAGGAATGGGGGATTGGGGGGAGGGGATGGGGGGACAAAAAAGGCGGGTGAGCTTGAGATCCTGACAAGCGCGAGTGTCTTTATGCGCGGGAAAAACAGGGGGTGCTTGTGTGGGAAAATGCGAAAGTGGGCAAATGGGCAAATGGGGGGGGGATGGGGATATGCAAGTATTGCCAAACCAGTCTGCACAAACTTATTATACATCTGAGTGTTCTCTGAGTGCGGTACACACATAGATAAACCTCTCTGCTTGTCCCTCAGAAATAACGTCAATGCAGAACGCATAGGGTTTCTGATTTATTATTGTTGTTATCATTATTACTATCATTATTTTCGTTTTTTTCTTTCTTTCCTTTTTTTAGCAAAATTTCCCCGCCCCTTACTCCCACTCCCCTCTTTCACAGAATTCGCCAACCAGCTAAAGCGAGCACGGCAGTTCGGGCAGCTGACAACTTTTGGGAAGAGTCTACCGAAAGGCGGGCAGTCCAAAGTAACAAATTCTATGAGAAAGCAGGAGATTATCACTCTGGCGTGTGCTGCCTATGCTGCCGAAACCAATAAGACGACAGACGAGCCGGTAAGGATGAGGTGGTAACGTTCGAGTAGAGTCTTTCAGACGCGGGCAGAGCCGCAATAACAAACGCGTTGAGAAAGCAAGAGGTCACTTTGGCGCTTGCGGCTTTCGCTGCTGAAGCCAATGCCATAGACGAGTGTGTGAGTGAGGAGAGTGTAACCATTCGAGGTGGTAACCATTATCCAGCTGTCTGAGGAAGGAAGAAGTTATCACTCTGACGCTTGCTGCTTACGCTGCTGAAGCCAATGCCACAGACGACCAGGTATATATTTATGCAGTAGCAGTTTGATGGTAGTAAAAAAAATAGATGGTAGCCGCGAGTAGCAGTATGATTGTAGTAACAAGTTGTGTTGCGGCAGCTCATGGCCAGCAAGACAGGCAGCACCGTGGGCGAGATTGCCATGCTCTTAGCTTCTCTCACCCATGCTTCCCTGCTTCCTCTACTGTCCGCCATTCCCCCTCTTCCATGCTTCAACCCCATCCCTATCCTTCAAATTCCAGCTTGCCATCCCGTTCGGTGTAAGGCAGCGCATTGCCAGCGAGACAGGCAGCGCATTGGGCGAAATTGACATGCTCTTAGCTAAGTACGAGTGGTTTTCAGAGGCGGCAAGCAGGATGCAGGCGCTAAAAGACCAAGGGAAACCACTTCCTCGATCCTTTGCCGAGGTGAGATATAAGATAGTGCTGAGTTTGGCATGCCTTTAGAGAACGATGAGGCTGTGAGCAGGATGCAAAGGACTCTGCACTGACTTTGCAGAGTCTGAGACTCAATATGGATGCCTTTAGCTTTATATTGAGAGAGTACCACTGAGAGTGGCATGCACTTAGCTAAGTATGACTGCTCTGAAGAGGTGGCTAGCAGGATTCTGGCACTTTAAGACTAAGGGAACAAACGCTTCCTCTATCCACAGGTTCTGACCCACTTTCTCTCCTCCCTTCTAAATCTATTGCAGATTGAACAAATGACACTTTTTTAGACGTCTCATAAGTGATCTCCAGGTTCAGACCCAATTGCTCTCCTCCCTTGTACCTCCTCTACAGATTGAACAAATGATGGGCCGGCCTTGGTCCCCATCCAAATCGGGAGCAGGTCTGCTGCTTTTGCTTCTGCTGCTTGTGCTGCTACTGCTGCTGCCTGCGGGTGTGAGCTTCACTCACACCTACCTTCTCTCCCCCTCGTTGCCTTGGCAGATTGAACAAATGATGGGCGGGCCTTGGTCCCCATCCAAATCGGGAGCAAGTTCGGGCGCTAGTGCTAGTTCAGCTGGCGGTGCAGGCTCGGCAGCAGCAGCCCCGGCTCGCAACAGCCCATGCCCCTGCGGCTCTGGGAAGCAATACAAGAGGTACGCTCAAGCAACCACTCCTCTAAACCCCTCAGGAAGTGCGTCAAATACTGCCCAACCTATTCGCACCGCCTCAGATGTTCAGCAGCAGCAGTCCAGGCTCGCATCAGCCCGTGGCTCTCTGGGAAGCGATACAAGAGCTGTGTTTTAGCAAGCACCCCTCTATAATCGCTTCACTGTGTTTGTATATGCTTGTTTTGATGTGCATGCCGCTGCTTGAAACCACCGTAATTGCTTGTTAAATGAACGTTTTAAACCCTTGTTAGTTTTTTTCTCTGTGTGAAAATGTGTTTGTGCAGGTGTTGTGGAGCTGGTACAACATAAAAGGTGCCGTTTATGGTGACTTTTTAATGCTTGCGTTCTACTCGCCATGTAAACGCATTTAAGCAATTTACATGGAAATGGACGGCACTTTGTGTGCTAGCTTCTCTTAGCGAGTCACGCCTTGAACAAAACAGTTTGCGGGCGCGTTTTCATGAGGTGACTTCCATGGAATTTCGACTGTAATCGGTCACGGGTTGCGTACTGCAAGCAAAACTTACAAAATTTTCCTTCACTGGGGCAAAATCGGGCCGATCATTTTTACGTCATGTAACTGAGCCGTAATTCAGTCTGAACCGTTTCGCTCTGGATACGTTACATGCTATCGACCCACTCGCAGCGACCAGGCCGGAAGTTCAACTTTGGCCGACTGGAAATTTGAATTCAGGGATACTGCCGTTGCCGCTTCTGTATGGTATTGCACTAGCGACGCTCTCACACAACAAAGGTCTTCAATGCACAAGGGAGCGCGTTGGCCACCGTTGACAGCCGTTGATTAGCATCAGCGTTCCTCGGTTCGCATGTGCGGTACAATCGCGACGAGCTAATTCGCACTATTGGTCAGATACAGAGCTACCATTGAACCTTACTTCCTCCGTCGCTCCTTCCGCGACATATCATCCATCATTATTAGTAATAATGTAGCAAATAAAAGCGTTTTGTTATACACTCTGAACTGTTAGAAATGACATCGTGGTGCAAGGCCTTTCTCCCGCTTCGGCAATCCGTGCTTCGGAGCCGAGGGATATCGCCGTTCTCCGTGACTTGCGGGTCGTCTTTCGGAACTTATTCGTCGTTATCCGTGACGTACGAGTCGTCTGTCGGAACTCACTCGTCGATCCTGGCCAGACAGAGTCTATCGGCGTACCGGCCGTTTTCCGCCATGGCGCCTCGAAGGTCCTCTAGATTGGCTGCCTTGCAATCGAGCAACGAGCTCTCCTCCACCGTCAAACCCTCTGCAGCATCAGCAGAAGCCGGTGCGGCTGCTTTTAAGGCGCCTCAACGGTCGAGCAAGAAATCGTTCTCTGCAACCAAACGCGCTTCGGCAGCAGCAGTGACCGCCAGGGGCGCTGCTGCAGCTGCAGCTGCTGCTGGTGCCGGCGAGTTGAAGCGGAAGCGAGCAGGGGGGGCAGGGAAGGCGCAAGTACCGGACAGGGCGCTTGAGGTAAGGAGGAAAGGGGGAGGGTGGGGAGGGGAGGATGGGGAAGAGAGCAGGGGGGGCAGGAATGGCGCAAAGTACCGGACAGGGCGCTTGAGGTAAGGAGGAAAGACGGAGAGGGGGGAGAGGAAGGAGTGGGGAAGAGTGCAGGGGGGGCAGGGAAGGCGCAAGTACCGGACAGGGCGCTTGAGGTAAGGAGGAGAGTGAGATGGGGAGACGGGTTGAGGGGGAAGAGGGGGTTGTGGTCTGGGGCGGGGTTACAGGATGTGGACGGGGTTCACACACGTGTATGGTGTGGATGAGGCGGGGCGAGGGAGGGCCAGGGTAGCAGGAACCGTTGTAACCCCTCACCCACTCCTCCCCTTCCCACCCCGTTCACCCTCCTTCCAGCAATCCCTGTGGGCGCGCGGGTTCAAGCACGTGTATGGGGTGGACGAAGAGGGGCGAGGGCCGCTGGCAGGGTGCATTCCAACCCCTTACAGGGTGCATTCCAACCCCTTACAGGGTGCATTCCAACCCCTTACAGGGTGCATTCCAACCCCTTACAGGGTGCATTCTCTCACTCCCCCATCCCCTACCCCGCAGCAATCTCTCTGGTCGCGCGGGTTCAAGCACGTGTACGGGGTGGACGAGGCGGGGCGAGGGCCGCTGGCAGGGCCTGTGGTGGCTGCTGCATGCGCCGTGCCTGCAGGGCTGGTAATCCCAGGTGGGTGGGTGCTGTGCGGTTTGGTGTGGTGCCGGTTCTGACTGCACCTGCATCCTGCATGCGCCATGCCTGCTGGGCTGGAGATCCCAGGTATGTGTGCTGTGTGGTGTGCTGTGGTGTGGTGTGTATGTTCTGACTGCACCTGCATCCCGTTGGTGGTGGGGCTGCTAGCAGGGCCTGTGGTGGCTGCTGCATGCGCCGTGCCTGCTGGGTTGGTGATCCCAGGTATGTGTGCTGTGTGTACGATGTGAGGGGTGAATGTTTCAATCAACTGACGCGAGCATGTGAACAGCATGCATCCCGCTGGCAGGGCCTGTGGTGGCGGCTGCATGCGCCGTGCCTGCTGGGCTGGAGATTGCAGGTGGGAATGCTGAGCTGAGTGTGTGGTGAGTGTGTGGTGAGTGTGTGGTGAGTGTGTGGTGAGTATTGTGAGTGTGATGTGTGTGTTTAGTGTGTGTTGTGTGTGCTATCTGCATGCACGTGCAAGGGACTGTGGTGGCTGCTGCTTGTGCCGTGCCGGCCGGGCTGGAGATTGCAGGTCGGTGTGTGGTGTGCGTGTGGTGAATGTGTGGTGTGTGGTGTGCGTGTGGTGAATGTGTGGTGTGTGTGCTATCGGTGTGCTATCTCCATGCACATGCGCAGGCCTGTGGTGGCTGCTGCTTGCGCCGTGCCGGCCGGGCTGGAGATTGCAGGTATGTGCACTGAGTGTGTCCTGTATTTGGTATGCTGTGTGTGGTGTTTATGTTCCGACTGGCACGTGCGTGCACACAACACACATCGTGTCGGCTGTAGCCACTAGCAAGGCCTGTGGTGGCGGCTGCATGCGCCGTGCCTGGAGGGCTGGAGATCCCAGGTGGGTGGGTGCTGTGCGGTGTGGTGTGGTGCGGTGTGGTGTGGTGCGGTGTGGTGTGGTGTGTATGTTCTGACTGTCACCTGCATCCTGTTGTGGTGGGGCCGCTGGCAGGGCCTGGCGGACAGCAAGAAGATAACAGAGAAGCAGAGAGAGGAGATATTTGATGCCAGCCATTATTAGAAACCTGTCTTCCTGCCTTCCTACCCGCTCTGTTGCAGGTCTAGCGGACAGCAAGAAGCTCACGGAGAAGCAAAGGGAGGAGATATTTGATGCCATCATCGGAAACTGCCTCACCGGTTATGATCCAAGTCCTTTCCTGTCTCACTACCCTACTGCCCTCGCTGTTGCAGGTCTAGCGGACAGCAAGAAGCTCACGGAGAAGCAAAGGGAGGAGATATTCGACGCCATTATTGGGAATCCTGACATTTTCTACGCTGTATGATACTGCTGCACTTTTTGGGTGCTGTAGGCTGTACGATATATGTATAAACATCCTCATTTTGTTATTTTGTGCTGTTTAATATTGTTCTGTTATGTTTTTCTCTCTTGATTTCTCTCAATTGTACCTTCATAATTCGTCTGCTATTTCGCTGTTTTCTTTCTCTATCCTTGCACCCTTTCATTTTTCTCTCGATTCTTTTTTTCCTTCCTACTTCTGCTTTATGTTTACTCTTTTCCCACACGCTATTATTCCCAAACATTTCCTCTCTTCTTTCCCGTATCTCTCCTGCTATGCAGGAGGACATATTTGCTCCAGCGGAGATCGATAAGGTCAACATCCTGGAGGCAACGATGCTAGCGATGGGCAACACCCAAGTCATCCAAGTCACTGCATCTTCTTCTCTCCTGTACCGCCCTGTACCGCTCTGTACCGCCCTGTGCTGTTCTCCAGGTGGACATAGTTGGCCCAGCAGAGGTCGATAAGGTCAACATCCTCGAGGCAACAATGCTAGCCATGGGCAACAGCCGAGTCATCCGACTCACTACAACTTCTACTTTCCTGTATCGCCCTGCAACTTCTTCGTTTCCCTGTTCTACAGGTGGACATAGTGGGGCCAGCAGAGATCGATAAGATCAACATCCTGGAGGCAACGATGCTCGCGATGGGCAACAGCATAGCACAGGTTGTCGAAGACCCCAGCAGCCCCTCCCCCGACTATGTGCTCGTGGATGGCAACAGGGTGCCCCAAGGGCTGCCGTGCACTGCCGAGGCTGTCATTAAGGTAGAGGTTTCAAGCGGTACGCTACGGTGTGGTGTGGTGTGGCGTGGTACTGGTGTGGTAATCAAGGTTGCAGAAGATCCCAGCAGCCCCTCCCCCGACCATGTGCTCGTGGATGGCAACAGGGTGCAACAAGGCTGCCATGTGCTGCTGAGGCGGTTGTGAAGGTATGGATTGGTGCAGTGCGGTACAGTATGGCACAGTGCTGTGTGGTGTGGTATGGTATAGTATGGAACCCCAGCAGCCCCTCCCCCGACTACATTCTCGTGGATGGCAACAGGGTGCCTCCGGGGCTGCCCTGTGCTGCTGAGGCTGTTGTGAAGGTAGTGGTTAAAAGCGGTACAGTATGGTTTGGCATGGCATGGTACCCCAGGAGGAGCCCCTGCCCTGACTATGTGCTTGTGGACAGAAGCAGGGTTCCTAATGGCCTGCCCTGTGCTGCTGAGGCCGTTGTGAAGGTATGGAGCGGTATGGTACGGTACGGTACGGTACGGTACGCTATGGTACGGTATGGTACGGTATGGTACGGTGTGGTACGGTATGGTACAGGATCCCCGCAGCCCCTCCCCTGACTACGGTATGAAGCGGCATGGTACGGTACGGTATGGTACATTATGGTATGGTATGGATCCATGCCACATGCTATGTGATCATGCTGTGTGCAGACTGTTAACCTCAAGCCTTCGTTTGTCCCTTGCTGTGTGATGTGCTTGCAGGGTGATGCCACTTGCTATGCTATTGCAGCTGCCTCAATTCTTGCCAAAGTGACAAGGGATCGACTCATGCTCAAATTTGATAGGTATGCCTGGTGCTTTACATTCATCTTAACACTTGTCCCATTTCACCAAGTTCCAAGACGTCTCAACACCTGCTATGCTATTGCAGCTGCCTCAATTCTTGCCAAAGTGACTAGGGATCGACTCATGCTCAAGTTCGATAGGTATGGCTGATGCTATAGGCTCATGCTGATCCTATCTCATGCGATGGCATGCCCATCCGCATCCCATGCCATCTCATTCCATGCTATGCCATGCCATATCATGCCATGCCATGCCATGCCATGCCATGCCATGCCATGCCATGCCATGCCATGCCATGCCATGCCATGCCATGCCATGCCATGTCATCCCATCAAGCTGCACAACAGGTACGGCACAGGGGTGGGGTGCCTTCAGGTTCATGTCTATCCCTCACCCCTCAACTTCCCCTTGCCACCCTGCTCACTTCCCTTCAGGCTCTATCCGGCAGACGGTGCAACACAAGGGCTATGGCACTGCAGCACACATGAAAGCACCCTTGGTTCATGGCACTGAGGTGACCTTTTGACTCAGACCTTTCCCCACCATTCTTCTTCCTCTGTGCCCTCCCACTCCTTCCCTTCAGACTCTACCCAGCATACGGCTTTGAGCAACACAAGGGCTATGGTACAGCAGCACACATTAAAGCCCTCTTGGCTCACGGCAGAGTGGTGACTTTAGAGTCCCCTCAACACCTGTGTGTGAAACTTAATGTCTCTTCTCTCCCTCTGTCGTCCTTACTTGTTCCCTTCAGGCTCTACTCAGCATACGGATTCAAGCAACACAAGGGGTACGGCACAGCAGCACACATGAAAGCACTCTTGGCCGGTAGCACAGAGGTGACTTTTGAGTCCCCTTAACACCTGTGTGTGAAACCTTCTTGTCTCTTCTCTTCCTGTGCCGTCCTTACTTGTTCCCTTCAGGCTCTACCCAGCATACGGATTCAAGCAACACAAGGGGTACGGCACAGCAGCACACATGAAAGCGCTCTTGGCTCACGGGCCTTGCCCCATACATCGTCGATCCTTTGCCCCCATAAAGGACTGGGCTGTTCTTGACGATAAATAAACCGGTGTTGAGATGCTTTGGAGACATGTCTGGTTGATTGATTGCACAGCAGCGCACATGAAAGCACCCTTTGCCCACGGCACGGCCCTTACCCCATCCACCGGCGATCCTTCGTCCTCATCAAAGACTGTGCTGTTTTAGACGAGAAATAAACTTTGGCTTTGAGATGCCTGGATAAAATAAGGGCTACGGCACAGCAGCACACATGAAATGAAATCACCCCTTGCCCACGGCCCTTACCCCATTCACCGGCGATCCTTCGCCCTCATCAAAGACTGGGCTGTTTTAGACGAGAAATGTACTTCTGGCATTGAGATGCCTGGATAAAGTAAGGGCTACAGCACAGCAGCACACATGAAATGAAAGCACCTGTTGCCCACGGCCCTTGCCCCATCCACCGCCGATCGTTCGCTCCCATCAAGGACTGGGCTGTTCTAAATGAGGAATGAACCCAGGTGTTGCGACGCATTTACCGTAAGATATCGTCAACGGCAAAGCAGCGCATATGAAAGCACTCTTGGCTCACGGCCCTTGCCCCGTCCACCCACCGCCAATCCTTTGCTCCCATCAAGGACTGGGCGGTTCTAAATGAGAAATGAGCCCAGGTGTTGCAATGCATTTACCGTAAGATATGGTCAACCCCCATCCGCCGCGGATCGTTCGACCCCAACAGGGCTGTTCTAGACAAGGAATAAGTCTCAGAATGTGACAGCGGAATGAGTGGTATGACTACCAGCAGGAGATGGGTACAAATATGAAACCTAGACAGTGTTGTACCCTATACAATGCAACTCGTTGTAGCCTAACAAACACATATAACATTTGACACACCCCCATAGGCTAAGTGAGGGGCATCAAAGCAAGCAAGGGAAACAAACGGCACAAGACCTGTCAAGACAAGTAACAAGCAAAGCTCAGGGTGGATCATGAAGTCACCACACAGTCTGAGCACAAGCAACGGGCCACAATGCCAGTTCAAGAGTTCATAGAAATATATAGACAGCAAGGCAGATAGAGCAAGAAGTAAGAGGCAAGCCTACAACAAACGAGGGCCTGCTTGAACAAGGCCAAGCTGCGTGCAGAACTTTGGTGATCACCAGGCGGAAGGACCTTAGTGAAGATGTCTGCAGTGTTGGCCGCTGAGGCCATAAAGTACAAGCATGCCTGGCCGTGACGTTGCAGTTCTCGCAGGAGAATGTACATGACGTTGATGTGCTTCACTCTACCCTCGAGTCGAGGCTCTCGACACAGGAGGATAATGGCCAGGTCGGTGCAAAGCGAGGCCGCTCACCCAAGTCGGTGAGCAAGAAGGTCAACCATCGAAGCTCCTGCGCAGCCATGGCACCGGCGTAGATCTCGGCCTCAGCGCTAGACTGCGCCACAGACGACGACCGAGTAGACCTCCACGACACAGCTCCAGAGCCCAAGCTGAAGCAGTACCCCTGGGTAGACCTGGAGGTCTCTACGTCGTCGGCGTAGGAAGAGTCGCAGTGACCGGTCAGTACAACTGGCTCTCTCCCTCCAAGCACCAGCCCCATGTCTGCTGTAGTCGCCAGGTACTTCGCTACCCTCACAGCAGCCGTCCAGTGAACAGGATGGTGTCTCTCATTCGCAACAAAGCGAGCCAGGACGCTGAGTGGAAAAGCGAGGTCCGGACGAGTACAGGTGATCATATACATGAGGCAACCCACAAGCTCTGCATAGGGACCACTAGACTCAAAGGGCTTGTCAGGAAAAGGGCCGGTGAGTCTGTGGTCGACGGCAAGAGGAGTGGGCTGGGTGGTGGAGAACTGGAAGTCGAACCGTTGAAGCACATGCTGCACCATGTGTGACTGAGTCAGTATGATGGTGCGAGCGGCTCTGTCCCTGGTGATCTGCAGGCCAAGGTAGCGGCATAGTTCACCAAGGTCAGTGCACATGTGTCTCTTCTGCAGTTCGGAATTCACGAAGCCAGAGCAACCCTGGTAGAAGGGTGACGTAGACAAGGTCGAAGAACGGTGTGGGTCCAGAACGAACGATCAGCGACGGGTCCGCGGTATAAGATCTGAAGCCAAGGTCAGCAAGTGTGGAGCGAAGAGTGTTGTGCCACTCACGGGGCGCCTGGCGGAGACCGTAGACTGGTCGTCTCAGGCTCCACTGCGTCCCAGGGGGGGAAAGTGTCAGTGAAGCCAGGAGGGCGGCGCAGCCATATCTCCTCGTGCAGGCGACCCTGGAGAAAGGCAGTGGAGAAGTCCAGTGTGTGCAGCTCATAGTCTCGCTGAGCTGCAACATGAAGTAACACCCGAAGAGTTATGATTTTCGGGGTCGGGGCGAAGATCTGGGAGAAGTCTACTCCCTCACGCTGACTAAAGCCTCTCGCCACGTAGCGCGCCTTGAAGACAGGCAGAGATCCAGGCGGCCAATTCACCTTAAAGATCCACATGCCATCGACTACGTTTGCCCTGGGTGGTGGAACTGCGTCAACGTAAGTGTCTGTGGAGAGTCCATGACTGCTATCCACTGAGAGGCCCACTGCCCTGACACTGCCTCACAGTACGTGTGAGGAGTCGGCATGTCAAGTGCGTCGGGGTCTCCCTCAGGGGCTAGCATCATGGCACAGAGATGGGGAGAACTCTAACTCAAACTGCCTATCCTCTAGGACGTCACAGCCAAAGGCAGACTCACCCTCGGCGGACGGAGGACGGGTAGGAGGGGCAGCCACTATGCGTGTGGCATAGTCAAGGCGGCGGGTGGCGGCAAAGTTAGTGACAGCGGCAGTAAGAGCCGAAATAGACGACGGAGAGGCACGAGGGTCCGTAACAAGAGAGGCGAGAAGACGTGAGATAACAGGTCGAGAAGTGCGGTAGTAGTCTGTGACAAAATGAGAGGAGGAGGCTGTAAGAGACGACTCAGGAGGTGACGGGAAATCAAACTCAGGCGGAGAACGACGAGGACTAGAACGAAGCAAGACAGTGCGGAGGTCGTCAAAATGAGACGGAGGATGAGAACGCGGGGGACAGTGAACGCTCCAGTTGTGCGGGACAACAGGATGAGACGACTGTAACCGAGGAGGAGAGAAAAGAGCCGGGGACGAGTCCGGAGGAGGAAGACCGTGAGCAGTAGGAGGCGGTGAGCGGTCAGGAGAGGAGAAGGGAACCAAGGGCCCGAAGGCCACTCACTGGTGGGCAAAAGTGACGGCTGTGGCTGCTGCGGCTGCTGCTGCTGCTGCTCCTACTGCTGCAGCTTCTGCTGCTGCTGCTCCAACTCCAACCTCTCCTGCTCCAACCTCTCTCGCTCCTCGCGCTCGAGTCGATGGTGAGCCTGGTGATGCGTGTCGTAGCGGTGGGGAGCAGTACTAGTGCCTCCAGCTCCAGCACCCCCAGAACTAGCACCTCCAGTGCCAGTACCAACAGCTCCAGCACCCCCGGAACTAGCACCTCCAGTGCCTGTACCAACAACTCCAGCGCCCCCAGAACTAACACCCCGAGTGCCTGTACCTCCAGCTCCAGCACCCCCTGAACTAGCACCTCCGGTGCCAGCACCTCCAGCTCCAGCACCCCCAGAATTAGCACCTCCAGCTCCAGCACCCCCAGAACTAGCACCTCCAGTGCCAGTACCCCGAGCTCCAGCACCCTCAGAACCAGCACCTCCAGCGCCCGTGCCTCCAGCACCAACACCCCCAGAGTCCACTACAACCTATCGCGGTAGTGCCGAAGGCTGCTGGTGGCTGGGCCGCTGCTGCAGCCGACGCTACCCGTACCACCAGGCCCCCACTGTTGTTGAGGGCGCCACTGCTGCTGTGGTTCCCACTGCTGAAACTGCCGTTGCTGCTGTCCCTTTTGCTGTCCCTGCTGCTGCATAACTCTTGCGGACGCCATGGTAAAGGCTAGCTGGGCGTAGGAGAGGCAGGCTAGGAGAAGCTAGAGCTAGACACGGCCTGAGCAAGGAGCGACTGGAGCTAGGAGCGGCTGGAGCTATGAGTGGCCGAAACTAGACACGGCCAGAGCTGGAAACAGCTGGAGTGAGGAGCAGCTGGAACTAGGAGCGGCTAGAACGAGGAGTAGCTGGAGCTAGACACCGCCGGAACGCGGAAACGCCAGGCTAGGAACTACTGGCGCTAGGAGCGGCTGGAGCAGGGAGCGGCTGGAGCTGGAAGCCGTTGGAGTTAGGACCGGCTGAAGCTAGGAGTGGCTGGGGAGAGTAACGGCTGGAGCTAGGAGCGGCTGGAGCAAGGCATGGCTGGAGCTAGGAACAGCTGGAGCGATACTAGGAATATCGATGAAGAAACACCAGCCTAGGAACAGTCGGCTAGGCAAGGCGGGCTAGGAACGCCAGTCGGGGCACAAAACCGAAACTACGCCAGGAAAAGTGACTGCGGCTGCCCGCCGCCGCTGGGGATGCCAATGGCAGGAGGCGTGCACGAGACAGTGGGCACTGGTGGGGCTAGCACAGCGTGTGGCTGGCGGTGCTGGTGCTACTAGCACTACTAGTGTCTGGTGGTGGCGGCAGCGGCAGCTGCGTGCGTAGTTGTTGCTATCGATTGGGGCTGTAGACGTTTATAGGCGGCTGTAGGCGGCTGTGAGCGGCTGTAGGCGGATGTGGGCGGGAGTGGGTGGCCGGACGCGGCTATGGACGGCTAGAGGACGGCCATAGGCGGCTGTAGGCGGCTGCTATCGTCGCTGGCGGCTGCTAAGGACGGATAGGAGATACTGCACTGGGCGGAATCGTGCAGCTGTGTGTGCCGGCTGTGAGCGTTGCTGCTGCTTCTGTAAGTGTTAGCGCTGCTGCTGGCGGCTGCGCGCAAGGCAGTTGCCCGCTGCTGCTGCGTGCACTATCGCTGCTGTATGCACAGCTGCAGCACGTATGTGATTGCTGCTATGCACGCGCCGGCTGCTGTTGTGCGTGCGCGGCCGTTGCTGTGCGCGTGCGCGCAGCTGCTGTTGTGCATGGGGCAGTGGTGCGTGCGGCTGCTGCTGTGCGCGTGCAGCTGTTGATGTGCGCGTGTGCGGCTGCTGCTGCAT